CGGCCTTGGCTGGGACTGGCTTCGCCTTTTCTACCTTGGCTACGGGCTTCTTTAGTTCGTGTCTGGGTTTATCGTCGCTTGATGTCTTCGCGTGGTCGCTACCTGCCACAGGCTCAGCCTTTGATGGCGGCTTGGACATTGTGCGTTGCTTGTCCAGCTGCAGAGACGACGCCGCGGCCTTGGCAGCAGTAGTTTTGGACGCTGATGTAAGTTGGAGTTTGGGCTGGGCAAGTTTCCTACTAAGAGAACCGCTCCCTGGCTCAACTGCAACCTTCTTCACAATTCTGGTCTCGGCGCTGGTATCATCGTCACGTCCTCTCTTGACAGTAGAACCCGCGGCAGGCTTGGGTGCCTTGGCAGCTCTGCTAGCAGCTGAGGTGCCGGTGTATCCAGTCGACTCTTCCATTGATCTGAGATATTTCTTGATTTTGGCTGAAATCTCGCGGACCAGCTCTTTGACGTCACTGTCGCCCTTTTCTGCAAATCGCTTCCGCACTGTATCGAAGTTGGTGGTTTCGGCGATTTTTCTCGTGATTTGGAAATGAGTAAAGAGCTCCAGGACGACTTTCGGAAGCTCTCCGGAGAAGTCACCGGCCTTGATAGAAAAAATTAAGACATTGATGAGACTCAATACCAGTTTATGATGGCCTCCTAGGTTGTTCAAGACCGAGTCATCGGCATGTTCAACCGTATCATCAAGCACTTTGAACAGCGCTTGTTTCTTTCTCTCGTATATCTTCTTCAGCTCTTGAAGTTCGGGATCGGTTTTGCTCTCTTTGGCAGCCTGATCTAGTTCTTGCTTGGCCTGATTCATTTCGCTGCGAAGCTTAATGAAAAAGTCTCCTGCCTGCTGGACCCGGCTGGCAACAAGAGAATTGGTTTTGGTTTCGGAAGAATCAATATGAACAATCCCAATGGCATCCCATCTTGCAGCTTCGATCGGGTCGGAGGGTCGTGTGGGGGGACGAATGGGTTTGTTGTGTTCTTCCTTGAGTTCTCCCTCCTGCTCTCTCTTCGCCTTCTTCTCGGCTTTATTTTTGGATGCTTCGTCCGCTTTGAGCTGTTCCTTGAATGCATCTGCGGATTATTAGCAAGGCGGAAATGTCACGTCAACGATGACCAAAACTTACGGGGATATTCAGTGTACTTTGGCCGTTTCTTGCCAAGGGACTTCATGGAGCGGTCGAACTCATCAAGAAGGGCTTTTGCTTCTATTCTCCTCTCGTCCAGGCCGGTCTTATTGAACGCTGGGCGATACAGGTTGGTGAACTTTCCTTGAATTTCACAAGGTAAGTCATACCCAAGTTCAGGGACAATAGACCGTTTGCTACGAGGAGGCAATGCAACCAAGGGCGCGAGCTTGTCATAGCTCTTTGGGACTGGATTTATTGTTAGCTGCAGACCCTAACACATTGCAAGATGGAAACACGTACCTGGAAGTTTAATGGTGGCGTCGTTGGCCAAATATGGAAGGCCCTTGATGGGAGGAAACTTTGCCTGAGCACCCTTTGGGCGTTTGTTGAATTGTTGTAACATAACTAAATCCTCCGGTGATGGAGTGGGGGGGTTTAGTGCATCAATCTCCTCTGCCTTCCTAACGGTAGACTCCATCGGCGAATTGAAACGTTGCGGTGAGTTCTCCAAGCTCGGTGTATCCGTCGTCGGGTTCACTGTTCGCTTTCTCTTTTTGGCTGGCGCCTCAGTGGGCTGCAGTTGAACGGGGGCATGTTCGGCTGGGATAGAGTGTGGTGGATGAGGATCTGAGACCACTGGCTGACTTAATTGAGGCTGGCCGTTTTGTTGTAGACCGGGTTGGGGAAATCCGTGTGCCGGCGCGTGCTGCGGCTGCTGTTGGTAGGTGAACGGCTTCGGCGAGGCATATGAAGGATGCTGGGCGTGAGGGTGTGATTGTGCCGGTGATTGTGCCTGTGCCTGCTGCGGCTGCTGCTGCTGATAGACAGGCTGTTGAATTTGGTAGTTCGTGTGGTTCACAGGATTTGGCTGATACTGTGTACCATGGCCGTTGACGTGTCCATAGGATGCATTGGGATTGTAGGCCTGCTGATGCTGCTGATGTTGCTGATGTTGCTGGTGCTGCTGGTGCTGTTGGTGCTGCACAGGCGAAGGCTGGCTTGGTCGCAACTGGTTCTGAGCAAAGCTATTCGGCTGAACGTTGCTGTACGACTGAACCGGCGTGTGGGATTGTGGCTTCGAGGCTTGTGGCATCACCTGGGGCTGAGAGAATTGTGAAGGGGGGGAGGGAAACGACTGCTCATGCTGAGGTGCAAAGGTCGAATAGTCGTGATTGGAAAAGCCCTGTGCTTGAGAATGGGGTTGCCTTTGAAGCTGCTCCATTTGGTGGATGTTGTCCCCCGAAAGACCAAGTTTATCCTGCTGGTTGTACAACTCTGGCTGTATGTTTGCGAAAGCAGGATCTAGGACATCCTGGGAGGGATATTGCGGGCCTAGATCGAAGGAGCCGTGGTTGTCGTCGTAGTTGGAAAACGAATGGGGATCATGCAGGAAATTGGCAGCAAGGTCTGATGAGTTCATCTGCCTTCCGTAGTCCTGACCCGGCATGGGCTGAGACCAGGACTGGCTGTGATCATACTGGGCATTCTGATTTGAGAAGTTGAAATTGGACTGCCACGAGTCGTGACCATCAGTGCCATTCTGTCCTTGGTTTGGCCACGACTGCATTGTTGCAGTGTGGACGTTGCCCGAGGGGGCTTGCGGACCAAGGCCGTCACTTCTCTTTCACGTCTCCTTTCTAGTTATTTGATATTAAGTTAGTATCTAAGGTAAGTCTAAGAAGAGTAGATCCAGTGTGCCGCGTAGGTAGAGTATCTAAGTAGTCCAGGGAGGATCTTAAGATAAAAAGAAAGAAAGGAAACAGCATAGACAAGAGGTCCTGCCACCAGAGGCTTAGATGCTTCAGATGACAGGAGATAAAGAGTGACGGGGAAATAGATGCTTGGACTCGGCGCGGTAGATGGCAGATGGCAGACGGATACTCACAGGCTGCAATGGAAGAGGATGACGATGATGGTGGTTGGTCGTGGCTGAATTCCGGATCTACGCGATATGATTTACCGCTAGTCCTGATTGGGAGCGCGTGCAGGGGCTATGCATCAAGCGTGAGGCGTGAGTGGTTGCACAGGATCTGTAGAACAGCAAGCATCTTGCATCAGTATATCGACTGTAATTGAGGAGGATAGAGTGGCAATGGTGATATGGCGTGTGCTTGTGAAAGGGATGCAATGAGTTTCAGACCGATAAAGCCACTCAAAGGACAAGGCCGATGCTGGGGGAGTTCCGGCCAAGGCTTAACAAAGGTGAGTAGAAGGTGTGCCAATTCTGGGAGTGGGGAATAAGCACCACCATCACCCGCCAGACACCACTGTCGCTGACTGGGGCGCTGGCACTGATCGCTGCACTTGCGCTGCTCAGCTGCATTATGGAAAGAGAAAACAAGTTAGGAAGAGAAGAGGGGAATGGTGTGAAGCGACCGCCCCCGACCAGAGAGGACTCTTCTTTGGCGGGCATTATGGATAGGCCTTTCGAATTAAGGTTGAAAGGTGACGATAGGTGGGTAGTTATTTGGAGTCCGCTGTGCTTGTTCTTTGTTTTCTCAGTATGCACGGTCAAAGGTCGCGCCATTTTTGGCCGCTCCAGACTCAGGCATGTTCTAAATCAGCTCAGCTGTTTATGACAAGACACCGCAGGCGTCTGGATCTGCGCTGCAAAACAGGGCCGCAAAGTGCCACCGTTGGCCAGATAGTAGAGCCTTAAGGGTTCGCCATTTCCTGTGGGCTGGACGATTAAATGTGCCCAAGTCAAGGTTTGGCGCGTCAAGCTCCCGACCTCAACAGACCCTGCTTTTGCTGCATGGGAAGTCAGGCCTACAGCTCGAGCCACAGCCATTCCTATCATTTGTGCCAATTATTTTATAGTCGTAGGTAGAGTGATTGTCCTTCCATTATTCATGGGTATCACAAGTACTAACGCGCGGAGTCGCTTGCTTCATTATGCCTGACGGGTGGTGTTGATGATGGATGGTCGTGCAAGGGGTGATGCGAGGGGGAATGTGCTTGTGGTGGTGCGTGGATTGATGTGGGAGTAATGCCATACCTACACTCCCTGTGGAGGACGCGATCCTCGTTCTTACCCTTGGCCCGTCTCTGCGGACTTGCGCAAGTGAGAATCTCGATTACCAAGTCACCTATTCACAGTGACGCGACTGTTTGCTGCTTACGACACCATCCGTGGCGGAGAGAAGAGACAAGATTAAGGGGAAGGGTGGAAGAACGAACACACACGCAAAGAGCGCACGCCGTCGCAGTCGCCCGCTGAGGCTCTGGTGCAGGTGTGTTGGCTCTCGAGTGCGTTAGAGTATCTAGTCACGCCGTCCTCTGCTGGGTTTGACGCCGTTTGACTGTGATTACCGAAGAAAATGCCCGTGGTTGATGAGGTGTCGTTGAATGATGAGAGAAAAGTTAAGCCTCCGTTCCAGGCACTGACGCCCCCGAGTTTATTGGCGAGCCTCAAAGTTCAGGCATCAAGGCGCATGCACATGCACACGCGACCGTGTCTCGACTCCCTGCAGTTGGCAGTTGCCCAGCGCAATAAGGCAGCAATGCCAGACACCTCCTTCCCCACCTGCCCACTGCAGTACGTACCTTGCGATCGGGGCCAAGTCGGTCCGTGGCATCTCGCCCACCCACCCCACCTTGAACTGAACTGCAGGCCAAGGCAAGCACCTGCACGAATTGCTACTGGCTGCTGATGGAGCTTGAAGTGGGCTTTGTGATGTCGTGGCCCCAAAGCTCCAAGATACCGACGGTTAGCTGTTAACCCATTATCTTGGTTTTGCATATCGACATTCCAGGTGCGCATCCGATGATCTTTTCGCATAGCCCTTGAAACCCCCGATCCAAAGCGACAGTCACCAATTGTCGCGAGTCCGTCGTGGAATAGGAGGCTCACCCACAGTAGCCACCATGGCAGCTCACGGCGACTCGCTGCGAGATCGCCAAATTGGTAAACCCGACATGTTCATAATCCAATCACAGTGGTCGCTAATGCTCTACGTAGCCTCGCTTAAGAAAATATTAAATCTCAACGAAACCGTCGAGACCAGTGACAAAGACGAAGCCCAAGCCCACGCACTACTGGCACCGGTTGCCCCAATCTTGGATGCTGACGGGAATCCTATCTGGAAAGTGCTGGTGTTCGACGACTTTGGCCGCGATGTTGTTAGCAGTGTTCTTCGAGTCTCCGACTTGAGATCTATGGGCGTCACAATGCACAAGTATGTTGTCTCCCACCCATCAGCGAGAAGTCATCAGGTCATCCAACACGATCATATAGGCATATTGGAACCACCCGACACCCGATCCCCGATGTCCCAGTCATCTACCTCCTCGAACCAAACGAAAAGAACATTCAATCCATCACCAACGATTTGGAAAAGGGCCTCTACTCCCCGGCCTACATCAACTTCCTATGCTCCTTGCCTCGAGTCCTGCTGGAGGACTTTGCGACACAGACTGCGACAGCCGGGACGTCGGAGCAGATCGCACAGCTTTACGACCAATATCTGAATTTTGTTGTGACGGAGCCGGATTTGTTCAGCCTGAATATGCAGAGTGAACATACATACTGGGCGCTGAATAGTGCGGCCACCAGCGATGCCGAGCTTGAACGAGTGATTGACAGAATCGTCAACGGTCTTTTCAGTGTTGTTGTCACCATGGGTAAGTATTCAGGGCGCTTAAAGACCGCGGATTATATTGACGTCTGATTTGATAGGTGTGATTCCCATTATTCGGTGCCCCAAGGATGCTGCTGCGGAGATGGTGGCAGTGCGGCTCGATCGCAAACTCCGAGACCATATTCTAAACTCAAAGGACAATCTATTTTCTGGTCCAAAAGGCGGTGCCGGAAGCACGGCTTCCTCTCGCCCAGTGCTCGTTCTGCTTGACCGAAACGTGGATCTCACAACGATGCTCTCCCACTCGTGGACATATCAGTCCCTTGTGCACGATGTCCTAAACATGAAGCTCAACAAAATCACCGTTGAGATGCCAGCAGAGGAAAACAACCCTGCCAAGGGAAAGTCAAAGAAGATCTACGACCTAACCTCCAGCGACTTTTTCTGGACAAAGCATGCCGGAGCCCCAGTCGTAGAGGCCGCCGACTCAGTAGATGCTGAGCTGAATAAGTGGAGGGAAGAGTCTGCTGCTATGACGAAGAAGGCTGGAGCGTCCCAATTCGAGGATCTGCAAAACGAGACCAGCGCGGCCACTCAGCATTTGAAAGCAGTCATAGGAGAGCTCCCAGAAATGCAAGAGCGGAAAGCAACACTCGATATGCACATGAACATCTTGACGGCAATCTTCAACGGCATCAAGAACCGTCAGGTCGACAATTATTTCCAAATAGAAGAGGAGGTAACGAGACAGTCCAAGGATCAGATCATGGACGTTATCAAGGGTGCGGACAAGGGAAATGAACCCACAGACAAACTTCGCCTCTTTATCATTTGGTTCTTGAGCACGGAGCAGGAGCTTAGCCGAGCCGAATTCGAAGGATTTGAAAAGGCTCTGGAGGCAGCAGGTTCCGATGTGTCGTCGCTTCCTTACATCAAACAGTTCGTTGATCCCACCCCATCACGTATCACAAGGGGCCTTTTTACTAACATTTGAAAACCAACAGTGTTCGAGCCACGACTAAGATGACCCAACTCGCTACTGTCAATAAAAATTCTGGCCAACAGCAAGGATCTTCAGATCTCTTTGGTCGGTTTTCCTCTATATCGTCACGCCTAACAGATCGATTAAAGGAATCCGGTGTTCCAACCGGCCTCTCATCCAACTTTGACTCGCTTATCAGCGGTGTCAAGACCTTCCTCCCTGTCGACAAGGATCTCACAGTTACGAAGATTGTAGAATCCATCATGGACCCCTCCACTGCTTCATCTTCCGCTATTGCCAAGACAGAGAACTATCTCTATTTCGACCCACGTTCAGCCAACGCCCGTGGGACGATGCCACCCCCAAGTGCTCTGAGAGCAGGCGGGGGAGGCAATGCGCCTGGAGGACTGCCTGGTTCGCAAGCGCCCGGTCAATCAGCCAGCTTTGGTCAGCGGCGGCAGGGCTACAGCGAGGCTATTGTATTTACCATTGGTGGTGGAAGCATGGAAGAATATGGTAATCTGAATGACTGGGTCAGCCGAACAGGGGGAGACCGAGCGAAGAAGCGGGTGGTTTATGGCAGTACTGAAATTATCAACGCAGCCGAGTTCATCAGAGACGAGTTGGAGAGGCTAGGAAAAGAGGTAGCATCATCTTGAGTGGCTGGCACAGGTCAAAAGAGATGGATATAGTAATAATGGCGTGCACCTCCAAAACAACTTGCGCGCTGGGTTGAGGCCAGGCACCATTCCCAAATGCACAAGTTAAAGTAGAAATGTGTATTTACTCGCACGAAGTATATGAACTGATTAAGTCGATCCTATTGTAATCTAGCTAGAAAAGAAAAGTGAATGTACAGGCTAGTAGAGAGCCATTTAATGGTGTAGAGGACCAGGTGGACAACCGGAGCTGTTACGCAGGCCTGTTGGTTTAAGCGCTGTTTGATCGCAGCGCAGCTTCACTGGCCGGATCGAGCTGTCTGACCCCCGATGAGTAGTCGCGTCCAGAAAAAGAGGACCCGCCGCCCTTCCAACGTCTCACGCCTCACAAAGAGACTGCACCGCGCTTCATCAATTCATTCGTCACTCTTGCTTCCTCCATCATCGCCTGCTGCCAGCGATTCCCCGTGACACCTTTTCCAGCCGGCTGCACTCCACCTGAGACATCAATTCTACACCTCGCTCGCCCCGAACCTACAGCCCATCCCGTTTTTTTCCCGGCCACGAGTCAACATTCCGCCAGCCTCAGCCCGTCGCTGCATCGTGCAAGTGCGCAATTCGGAAACCCAGTGGGAGAATCTCCCGGAGCGCGCTGGAGATAGCTGCAGCAGCCAGAAATGGCCGAATCCCCAGTGAAGACCGAGGGCGATGCCGCGCCTCGGCCCAAGGCTGGGTACAAGTCATGGAAGAAGAAGTACCGCAAGATGCGCATCTCCTTTGAGAACAAGATGCATGAGGGCGAAGATATCTTCAAGCAGGAGGCCAAAGCACAGGCGACCGTGAAGCGGTTAGCTATTGAGAACGAGTAAGAGAGCACCCACACTAACTATCATCTCCCGGTGTAAGATCATGGCTAACAGAAACAACCAGTCGCCTACTAGACATTCTCCTCGAGATCAACAACTCCCCCCAGATCCCGCTCGAGAAGCGAGTCAACATCTCCCTCCCACCGTCCAAATCCAGCGACCGCATCCACCCCATCGACCAAGACTACGAGAGCCAGAAGGAGCTGCCCCTGAAGAGGCTCGAAGACCTCATCCACGACGTGCCGCACCAGCCCTACAGGCTCGCCAAGGAGTCCGACCCTCACCTGGTCGCCGAGCTCGAGAAGTCGGAGGGGGACAACTACCCAGCCCACTTCCTCTGCGCAGACGACATCGACAACTACCTCCACCTCATCGACCAGAACATGGAACCGGACAACCCGGTGCCGACCCTCGCGCCCCTAGCCCATCCCACCACCAACCCTCCCCTCCACCCGCTCCTCAAGAACCCCAACAGCGCGACCAGCTGGCTCCGCCGCCACGCGCCACACATCTTCCTCCAGGGCATCCAGGAGCCCGGGGCCGAGCCTCACGAGGACGCCAGCGCCGCGGGCGGAGCCGACGACGCCGCCTCCACGCACACGCCCAGCCACGCCGGTGGGCGCAAGTCGCGCGGCGGCGCCCGGGGCGAGCGAGGCGGCAAGACCCCCAGGGTCCCCAAAGGCACGAAGCGCTCACGGGCCTCGCTCGCCGCCGCCGCCGCGGCAGCAGCGGACGTAGACGTGAGCATGGACGACGACGGGGAGTTGAACACATCCACGCCCGTTGCCAACGCCAAGGGCAGCAAGAGGAAGCGCGTCACCGAGGACGACCAGGGATACCGTCCCAAGGGGACCACCAGCCGGCCGACCAAGAAGAAGCGTAAGAGCGAGGGCGGCGCGGAGGGGACGCCCACCGTCCGCAAGTCGAAGAGTAGGGAGGCTCTGGCTGCGTCCGCCGAGGCGGATTAAACCAACAGTCAGGTCATGGCAAGGGGGTTAAGGACAGCGGTTGCAGATCTGGCTTCGCAGTCTCATAGTAAGGTTCCGGGTTTTTATATTTTATGGGTGTTTTCTCATTGGGAGGTTCGTCAAGGCAGTATTTCTATTTCATTTTCCTCTTTCCTTTTGTCTACCATGTACTATATAATAACCTCGAGTTGGGGAATGGAACCCAAAAAAATTGAGATTCGGAGACAGAAATTCCGATATAGGCGTTTAATCAAGAGGGTGCTGGAAATAGTTTGCTATAGTCTACAGCGGGAACACACTTTTGATTCGCTCGCGAGAGCTTCATCACAGCGTACGGCCTTGTCCCTTTGAGCCAATTACTCTTGAGCTATTTCAGAGATTGGTAATATCCCAATTCTCAGTGCTTATAGATATGTGAGACAACATGACAGGTCAACATCAATGAGGAGTGATGCATCGGAAATGACTTATTTGTAATTTTTTTTTCTTGGTTTAACCATGGTTTTCTGTTTCTTTCCAGGTGTCCTGCGCTCTATCCAAACTCATCAATGGTTGCTACGGCTTCTTGGCATAATCATGTCGTTAGAAAACAGAAGCCTTGGATCGCATGTGATGATGCGCGCGAGTGTCTATCTAGAATGGAAGCAATATGCAAAATGCAAAAATGTGTGAAGCGTCCTTTTTTTGCCTTCACCCAAAACCAATGGTCCTCGAAAAATTCATCATTTATATACTTGTCCTTTCTAAGGCGGTTGTCGACATTTACAGCTTCTCCTTGAGGGTGCTCTTGAGACGTCTCTCAACAGCGTCGAGGTATTCGTTTGTGGTGACGTAGTCGCTCCTCTCCTTCTTGCCGCAGGCGAGGGCGAGATCCTTGGTCATGACGTTGTCAATATCGACGGTGTCAATGCAGGCCTTCTCAAGAGCTTCGGCGTAGGCAACGACCTCGGGGGTGTCGTCGAGCTTGCCGCGCTGGACGAGACCACGGGTCCAGGCGAAGATGGAGGCAATGGGGTTGGTGGAGGTCTCACGGCCCTTCTGGTGCTCACGGTAGTGGCGGGTGACGGTACCGTGGGCGGCCTCGGACTCGAAGGTCTTGCCATCGGGGGTGATGAGGACTGAGGTCATGAGACCGAGAGAGCCGAAGCCCTGGGCGACGATGTCGGACTGGACGTCACCGTCGTAGTCTAGAACCAATTTGTTAGACTTTGATCTCACGGGAAAAAATACATTGAGCCAGAAAACTTACTCTTGAGAGCCATGATGTAACCACCGGAGCTCTTGATCATCTGGGCGACCATGTCGTCGATGAGGCGGTGCTCGTACCAGATCTTCTTGGCCTCGAACTCCTTCTTGTACTGGGTGTCGTAAATCTCCTGGAAGATGTCCTTGAAGCGGCCATCGTACTTCTTGAGAATGGTGTTCTTGGTGCTCATGTACAGGGGCAGGCTCTTGTCGAGAGCGAGCTTGAAACTGGCGTGGGCGAAGCCGGTGATGGACTCATCAGTGTTGTACTGGGTCTGACCGACACCACCGCCGTTCTTGAACTGGAAGACCTCAATCTCCTGAGGCTCGCCACCCTCGGGGGTGTAGACCATGGACAGCTTGCCAGGGCCAGGAATGACGGTGTCCTTAGCGCGGTACTGGTCACCGAAGGCGTGACGGCCAATGATGATGGGCTTCTCCCAGCCAGGGACTAAACGGGGAATGCGGGGAATGACAATGGGCTCGCGGAAAACGGTGCCACCGAGGGCGTTACGGATAGTACCATTGGGGGAGAGCCACACTAAAAATCACATGCATCTGGTTAACAGAGAGTTCCATCGTGCGAAATTACCCGATCGATCTGCGTGGTGGGAGTGGTGCTTGCGCTATGCAGCCTCTGTGTGGAGGGGGGGAAATGGGATGGAGGGGCAGAGCCAGAGAGGCGGGTGGGTGCCCCGCCATGGCTTTTGGGCAAATATAACACATACTCTGCTTTAGCTTGAACTCCTCAACTCGGGCCTCATCGGGGGTGATGGTGGCGCACTTGATGCCGACAGAGTACTTCTTGATGGCCTCGGCGGCATCGATGGTGACCTGGTCGTTGGTCTCGTCGCGGTACTCGAGACCGAGATCGTAGTACTTGATGTCAACATCAAGGTAGGGGAAGATGAACTTGTCCTTGATGACCTGCCAGATGACGCGGGTCATCTCGTCGCCGTCAAGCTCGACGACAGGGTTCTTAACCTTGATTTTCTGAAGGGTAGCCATAGTGCGGAAGTAGATGGGCGATCTGGTCTGGGTGGCGCCGAAAGATGCTGCGAGAGGACGGAGGAAAGGAGTTGGATGGCGAAGGGAAGTTCGGAGGAGGGAAGACATGGCGAAGGAGGAAAGGAAGAGTAGTGATAAATGGTCGCTGTGGCCTGCCTATTGGTACGATGCGACGTTAGAGGAAGATTCGGAAGTTCGCCGCGGGTAGGCCACGGACAGCCGAGGGTGAGAGCTCTTGGAATTGCCGGATTGTGGCACCAGTGAGAGCGGACGGGCGGATATGGAGCAGCCTGCAGAAGGAGCGCCTTCGTTGGTGTGTCTGTCCGGGAGAAGCCTTATGCGGGCCAGCAGCAGAGGCTCGGAGGCTCGTACGTACCTGGATAAGGATACAGAATTCAACCGCAACGGCCTACGCGACGACGGCAGCAGGCAGATTGATCAGTCAACGGCCCTGGGACTCAGGATGGGAGGAGTGATGATTCCAAGCAGGACTGAATCTGCAGACGGGCGTGTTTTTTTCGCTCGCCCTGACCAGACAATTACCTCCGACCATCGGGACAGGAATTGCGAACGGAGAACGAGCTGTGCTCCTCCAACAAAGTGGGGGGCAAAGGCTGGTTGGTGATCTTTTATACTAGTCTGCCGCCGCCTCCTCACTTGTGCGCGGAGGCTGCTGGGATGGGTCAGGTTACTTGATGTGGTTGTGTAAGCCGTTTTCCCTGCCCTGCAGTTGGATGACGGCCTCTTGCCGCGACGTGGACAGCTGCAAATGATCATCTGGACAGTAATTCTGCAGGCGAGCTGCCACACCAGGGCGCATCACTCCAGCTTTTCGAGGGGTGCAGGCCCGGGATGGTGATTCCTTTGTCCTGTCTCGTACTAGCCTGTGGTTAGATGTTGCTCCAGGCGCCTTCAGTACGTTGCATGGGCGCAGGGTCTTGTGGCCACTGCGGGGAAGCAGGAACTGGGAAGGCTTCACCGACCGATCGGAGGGCAGCACGCGCTAGGCTACGGCTTTAGCGCCTGTTGCTGCTAAATGGTTGATTATGTTACGACCATTAAATTACGCAGTTCCAGCGCCTGATTACTGATTTCCAATTATGCATAACGCCGTTCTCGGTCCTAGATTAACACGACCGGCCGAGCGGTACTACCGAGAGGAGCCGGCCTAAGACACGCATATAGGCGGCCTGCTGTCAACCCAGGAGCTCCTCTCGCCGTCCCTGTCTCAGCTAGTGGTTGGGGTAAATCAATTGAGTTTCTCCTTGCTTGACTGAGCGCCTGTGAATGGCTGGCTATACACCGCGCATTTCAGGAACATGCATTTCGTGCAGGGCTCAAACAAGATTCCCGTTGGAGCTGGGCATCTGCGACTGGCTGAGGCATGGGAGCAATGAGGGGATATATGATTAACCGGCGGCAATAGCCCGACTTCAGCACACAACCAGCCCACGCATCATCCCACACTGCCGCCGCCTCGCACCACGTTACTCCGGATACACCATCTTCCTCGTTACTCCTCCGTCGACGACCAGCTCGGCCCCTGTCACCCCGTCGTTCTCGGCAAGATAAAGAACCGCCTTCACCATGTCCTCGACCTTGCCCACCCTGCCCGTCAACTGCCACCGAGCATCCCGCTCCGAGATGCCGTCTTCCCACCTCCTCCTCTCCTCGTCCGCAGCCTTGCACTCGTCCTCGACATGAATCCAGCCGGGCAGGATGCTGCTGACCCTGATGCCCTTGTCCGACAGCGAGACCGCCATGCTCTGCGCCATGCCGAGCAGGCCGGCCTTGGTGGTGGAGTACCCCTCGTTGTGCGGCTCGCTCTGCAGCGCCCTCGTCGACGAGACGTGGATCACGCAGCCCCGCGCCTTGGCCAGCATCCGGAGGCACGCCTGCGTGAACAGCATCGGCCCCGTCAGATTCGTCTCCAGGCTTTTATTCCACTCCTCCACCGTCATGTCCTCCAGCTTCGTGCCCCCCACGCCGCCGGTGTAGGCCGCGTTATTGACCAGGCAGTCCAGCTTGCCCTCGAAGAGCCCCTCCGCCTGCGAGGCCGCGAGCCTGACGTGGCCGGGGTCCCGCACGTCCGCCGTCAGAGAATCGAAGTCGCTGCGAACATTGTGCGTCTTGGTAAGGAGCTGCACTGTGTGCTGCAGCTCGTCGGCGTTGGAGTCGACGAGGAACACCCTGTGCCCGCGGTTGAGCAGCTCGCGGGAGAGGCCGCGTCCAATGCCTCTCCCGGCGCCCGTGATGAGGAAGTTGAGCCTTGCTGATGCCATGTTGAACGTAGAGTGCCAGTGCTGAGATGTGTGGAATCGTAGTTTGAGTTTTCCTACTTGTGATACCCACTCTAGGTCTGGGGGTATGATGTAAGTGATGAGTTTGTAATTCACCGATCCAGAACTACATCAACCCGTTGGCAAACGTAGAATGCGGAGAAGCCGACAATATTGCAATCACCATTACAACGAATGATACCAAGGCCTCATTTGCTTGCCTTTTTCTTAACATTTATGAATAACCATAAAGAAATACATAGTTTACAGAACCAGTAGTAGAGATGAAATTTGACCACTCTCAGACGTCAAAAATCTCGCCAATACCTTCACGTCCGCCTCTTCGGATATCCACAATGTCCAACCTCCATCCCTCCCAGTGCTTCAGCGCCCGCTTGATCTCCTTAATTCGCTCTAGACGGTTCTTGCTCTCTTCTTCTTGTGCCTTTCTAAACGCATCCTCATCGAACTCCAAGTCGTCGTCCTCCAAGAATTCATCATCACCTCCCGTTCCGGCAAGTGCATTGAGCCCACTTGTGAAGAAGTCCCCGATACCGCCAGTGGTCTTTCTCTGCTGACCCAGGTGAGGGCTCAGGGAGAGATCGACATCCTGGAAGCCATTGCCGGTGCTTTCCATTTCGCGGCGCTTCTCGATCCAGGCACCACTGCGAAGCTCGTGGTTCTCCTTCTCGAGGCTTCGGATCTTCTTCTCCAGCCTGACCCTGTCCTCATTCTCGAGCTCATCCACGCCTTCATCGTCAAGGCCGCCGCCACCGTCTGTGGACTTGCGGACTCGTAGCTTGACGTTCTCGTTCTCCAGCTTCTCCGCCTTGGTTCTCAGCTCCTTGGCCGACTTTTCCGCAGCCTCCTTTTCCTTCTTCAGCCCCTGTAGCCTTGTATCTTGCTCCTTGTGAAGGGTCGTCAATGTGTTGACCTTCATCTCGAGGCCTTCGACCCTCAGCGCCAACTCCTCCCTAGCGCCCTTCGCCTCCCGCAGCTCCTGCTCCAAAGTCCGAACCTTGGTCTCGGCGCTGGTCCTCTCGCTGCCTTCGCGAACAGCCTTTTCCGCCGTACGGTCCAGGTTGCGCTTCAGGTCCTGGAGCTCCCGCTGCGCCTTGCCGGCCGCCGCCTCGGCCCGGGCGAGCTTCTCCTCCAGGGCGGTGACCTGCTCCTTCTCGGATGTGGCGCCGCTCTCGTGTCGCTCGACGCGAGCCTTGAGTTTTGAGATCTCGATCTCCATTGATTCGATGGTGGACGACTTGGAGTCCAGCTCGGCTTGGAGATCGGCTGGGGAGGTGATGGAGACGGAGGAACGGCGGACGTGGCCGGAGGTGCGCGAGACCTGCTGCTGCAGCTGGGTGTTCTGGCGCTCCAGAGCGGCAAGATCGCTCTTCTAGATCTTGGGTCAGTAAACAATTCTCCCAATGCTATCTGTAGATGTAAGCCCAGTACGTACCAACTTCTCGACATCGTCATCACCGTTGGGGGCAGGGATATCGTCTCCCTCAGCTTCGCGCAGGTCAGCCAGCTCTTCTTCCGCCTTCTTCCACCTCTTCTCGGCGTCTGCGCTCTCCTTCTCCAGGCGCTTGTTCTCCTTCTCGAGCTCCTCTATCCTGGCGACGTGCTTTCGATAGATGTCGGGTGCGGTGTCCCCATCGGGCGGTGATGCAACGCCAGGGCCACCAGCACGGAAAGAGGTCGATCGGAGCTTGGACTGCTGTGCGAGCGAGGGGGTCCCCGCCGGAGACGATTCCTCAGCCTTCTCGTCAACGGCGTCGTCCTCCTCGGGCTTCTCCTCCTCAGCGGGCTCGGGTGCAGCTTCAGCTTCAGGTGCAGGGCCCGGGGTCGGTGGCACGTCCTCCTCCTCCTTGGAAGGCTCTTCCTTGGTCTTCTTGGCCGTCTCGCTCTTCTTCTTCTTCTTCATTTGCTCGACCTGGGATCAATCAGCATGCTGGGGGGTTCTTTGGGCCGCTGCTGGCGGTGCTCACGCGCTTCTTGGCGGCGGCAATCTTCCGCGCCTTCTCGTCTGCGTCCGCCATTGTGAATGGTTGCGGATCAATCGAGTACGTGGTCGTGGGATCTGTGATGTGCAATGGCGAGGGTTGTGTATTGGGAGGTGATGCCAGCCCTGGATTAGATAAGGCGGACCTGTCAGGGACAGGTTGCTGTTCACTGCGGCGCGTCATCACAAGCGATAAGTGGCCTCTCCAGATGAGACATGCTTAGCATGTACACCACACGGCCGAATGCAGGACAAACCACAAAAATCAGGTGTGAATATGTATCATGCGAAACATCTACATGCTTTTTTAATTATTATTCCATCGAGAACATGGAGTATGAATATTCATCTTAGGATTTCTAACCTGCTGCTTGGGACTTTGTGTCCTTGTGCGCTCACGAATAGTGTCTCACAATTATTGGCCGTGAGAGTCCCAAGCTCCACCTGATGCACCCAGCTACACTCTCAGCGGCAAAGCTTATGTTCTTGAAATCCAAGCTCCTCTAGCTTCAAGCCAGTCATAAGTTAGGGAAATTCGCAATTCCTACCCTTCAACTATCAGCTAAATATGTGTACAAGCCAAATGCCATGCTCCCAGATGAGAGTAGGTTCCTCAATTACAAGGAATTTTCTCGGTTTGCTCCGGTGCAGTCCTTTGGAATGGGTAATGCTTGAATAAAGCAGCTAAATATCTCGAAGTCCATTACGTGCTTGGCTACCGTTATACTATAGTATGGGGACAAACTTTGGGATGTCATACTCCCAAGAATTTCAGTATACGTCGTCCATCTCCTGAAAAGTATGAAAATCAAGCCAGAAAGGCATTCATTGCCAGGGCAGATGATCTGAAGCTGATGGAAGGTTTCCCTTTCTCTTACAAACTTCCAATACCTTCCTTGAAGATAAGGTGTATCAATAAGCTAAGACCGGAAGCGGAAATTGATCACTCTCATTTGCAAAAAGATCGGTAGGGAAATTAGCGTTTGACGAACTGTAGCTGGTCGCTTGTGAATGGATCTACTCCTGTACTATTCTCGAAGAACCTTACCATTTCTATCTTAAGAAAGCCACAAGATCGTGATCCCAGTTACCCAAGCTGCAGGTTTTTATCACCATGTTGAATTGATTATCTTCACTCTCTCCATTCTTGTCAGTTGCCTAATGATGAACAGTCGCATTTCAACAGACCAGGTTAGGCGCGTGGTCGGTCCCTCTCACGGGATATTCTGCAGCCATGTCTAGTTCTCTGCTTCTATTCTCTGTCCAATAATAAGGAACACGAATCAAGTATTGTAGAGGATCGGCTCACCCACATCAGTAACACAGCATACGCTTGCGCAAGCTGAGGCAGAGTATCTGAGTCACCTAATCAAGAGCCACTTCACATGACACCCTGTCGGTGGGAGAACAAATACGGATTCACAGGAAAAATCAGTTAGCAGATAGTGCCATGATCACATTTCGTTGGTCCTAGGAATTGAGACAATTTCTCCGCTCCTTGGCGCCCAAGGAATTAAGCCTTAGCATGTTTACGCACGCTTTCGTCTACTTGTGACGATGAAACTACGTGCATGCGCACCCTGTAGCCTGCCGACCTCACGTCGTACACCCGCTTGCATTGTTGTTGGTGACTTAACCTGACACAGTTCTCTTCGCATGATCCCCATTGAAATACTTGCCAATGGCACCTACCTAACGCTATATTGAGCAACCAGGACAGGCTACAGGCTTGGCTGGAACGAACCTGCAGGATGATGTGGTGGATCAGGCGTTACATTCAAGATGATCCTCTCGCCACTTGGTCAGACGGGAAGGTCCAATCCCCTCAACACGGTCTCGCGGCCGCAATCTTCTTGGGGGTTTTCACATGAAAAGGATCAATGATGCACAAGCTGGCTGACTTCACCAGCTCGTAATTGGTCCGTATTTTCATGTCCGCATTGCATGATGTTTCCACTTGATTGATTTCAGCCATGTTATTTCCCTTGCCAATAGCGTATAACCTAACGTCTAGCCTGGGTGTCAAATGAATGCCAATTCAACAATAATCTTCTCCCCTCTCGACCGCCTTCCTGTCAATTGCTCATTTGATGTTTCTTATTTCAGTCGCAGCAGCTGCCAATTGTTTCGTGCTTCTTGCGTAGAGCAGAGTCGGCCCTTCACTTCCAAAGCGAGGCGCCTTTCCCAGTCCATCGCTCCTGCCACTTGCCAACGGCCCGATACGTATCTTCTGCGCAGCCGTCACCTTCGATTCAGATCACTGGACCTTTCTCAACAACACTTTCGACAATACTTTCCACCTGCCTCTCAGCTTGGATTCACTCTACCCACAGACAATGAGGATACAGGTGGATCAATGGGATTCCTAGTCGGCTTAACCCGCCACCTTTCTTCACTTTTCTCAGCTCTTCCTCACTTTCGAATTCCACCATGAACTGGACTGAAGGCGCTCTCGCACGTCATTCACGGCGAAGAGGCTGGAACGAGGATGCCGCTCGTCAGAAACAATATTTTGCCAAGGCGCGTGCGCACCAGTGCCAACGATCCGTTCTCACCAACACCTCAGAGGGCACGAACCGCAGTTTTGTTCCCGATCACATCCCCCAAACACCAAAATCTTCCTTGACAAATCCCAAGATCACCTCAATTTCTCAGACTTCGTCACAGAAATCTCGAAGACGAACCCAGCGTCTATCAAACGAGTGCAGGAAAATGGCACCCGAGACGTTTGTATCGCCATTCTTCGAGACGGGCCGGAAACGAGGGCGAGATTCCCCCATCATCACCAAAAGCCTCTCGCCAAATGCTCTGTCTCCGGATATCGAGTCAAAGCGCCGAAAGCTCCTAGAGAAAAGAGACTGGACTGGCATCGAGGTCCAAAAGCCGCTAATTGTGGACTTTTCTCATCCAAGGCCGGAGAATCTCTTCAGCCACCAAAGAAAGGGCGCCTACCTGAGCCATGGTTCAGCATACAAAGCAGATGATCCCATGAAAATTCGAATTGGCGCTCACAACTTGGAATGGTCTCATCAGAACAATTCGCTTATCACCCCCAGCTTGACGAGCGAGTTCCCCAGCCTTCAAGATTGGGCGTCGTTTGAACCGTGTACTCCGGTACATGTGCCGTCAAGCCCATCTCACTATTCATTTGGGATGTCTACTTCGCCTTCTGTCCAAGCCAACATCCTTCAACCGTACTGTCATCTCCAGGATGCTAGCTACAATGCGGGATTTCTGCATGGTCAGGACATGAACTATAATTCCTTAGATGGCTGTTGTGGATCTGAAGAGCCGAAGTACAAAGTTCAGTCTACCCCGGCTGAGTTTCACCATCCTCAACCTTCGCGGGGCGAGCGACCCCGATTGTTCGATCTCAGATCCCCGGAACCACAGCAATCTGGGAGCATGATAGTGGAATTGGGAGGGCCGGTCCCGTATCAGAATTCCGATGAAGAAGAAGAGTGGAGGAATTGGCTGCACAGTATGGACGATTTTTCGATTGATCACAATTTCATCCTGGATGGTGAATACGAAATTTCTTCAACTCTCACGCCGGGAATCAGCGAGGGTTAGGACCCCTCGCACCGGCTGCCTTCTCCACGTCTTGAACGTTGCTCGAGCAAGGACAAAGCTTCATCGGAAACAGCTGCTAGTCCCATTTTATCGTCTTCTCGCGACAACACCCAGGTTCAGCCGGAGTCACCAGTGACACTTGTGGAAGAACTCGAAGAGAGCGAGAACAAGAAAATCAGTATGACTCAGATCGAACGGGAGCAACATAGTCAACATAGCAACCCTAGCGCTGGAACCGAAAACGTATCCACGGTCAATCCGACAGAGGTCCACGCAACAAGCCAGGATTTGATGCTACCTTCTGTTTGCGACCTACTCGTGGCGCCAGCTTTCCAGGCCTTTGATGACTTTGTAGGAATGGAGGAAGCTCCGCCGATGAGCTATGTCGATCTACTGGAAGAAGCAACGGGCAATTTGACGGAAGCAGACGATGAGGAGATCTGGAAGAAGTTCATTTTCGATAACGACAGCGACTTGACAGAGTCAACTGTGGGCGAAGTACAAACGGACACTGCCACGGGAATGATTGATAACCAGTCATCTTGCCACCCAGCATATGTGCAGTCGGCACCGAATGGAGACACCGATATCACATCATTTGGCAGTGTCTCAGACAATCCAGGTGGCTTCGGATTGTCGTCGAACGAGACTTCTTCGTCCAACATTCTAGAGAATTGCCTGATTGAGGACAAACCACAGTTGTATGAGCAGGGGCCTTTGTCGGGGAATCCGGAGCAAGATGACTTCTTCAAGTTCCATCATCCCAGGCCTTTCATTGGCAGGCTCGCCTCCCAGACCAATGCAACCCCCAAGCCCAGGGATTCCCCACTCAAGAGAAGCAGAGGACGACCCAAGAAGAAGAGGGACGCACAGAGGCCAGACATTCGAGCGATGCCGAATTTCGACGGCGACCCAATTGACGACGATCTAATTGACGACGAATGACGCACATGTAGTCACGAGGGACACCTGCTTCGTGTTCCTCTCATTAGTAACTAGCCATCTAGGAACGGCATGGGGAGTAGCATTGTAAGGATAAAGGCTGTGAGTGGGATGACGTTGCAGCTTGTGCGGTGTGTGGGTGCGGTAGTACGAATGAAACCAAGCCAGGCATAATCTGAACGAAATGTAAATAGAGGATCGGCTAGCAATGAAAAATTACCCAATCACCACGCGCAGAGGAAGCAGCTGATCATGTCAGAACAACTCGCTAGGACTTTGGGCAGCGAATCCACCATCTCTGTCCATCCCTGCCCGATACGCACTCACAAGGCTTGAGCGACTCAATCCCCACATGCCTCAGCTTCCATGGTGCTTCTAGAAGTATTCGGTGCATGAGACTAGTACGACCTTGCGATACGACCGGGGGGTACTGCCACTTCAGCTGACAGGGGCTAGCACATCACAGGTCGGTCCACCGTCCGAGAAGACCCAATCAGCCACTCTGTTCGATCAGATCAAGACACGGGGAATCGTGAGGGTCGTAATACAGGCCACCTTGCCTGCGACCCAAAACCTTCCAGAAGGTCAGAAAGAAGGCCTAAGAGGCAGGGGTACGGAGACAAGTGATGAAGGGGGGGCGTATGCATTCGTGCTGGCGCCCGCGACGAAGAAGCCGACCGACACCCATCCTGCAGGTGACAACTTTCAGTCACCATGCAGCTAGCATGGCCGGTCCCAGTGGCCCATCGTAACCCCTCAAGTGGGCGACAGGAGAAATGAGACACTTAATGGAAGAAAGGTTGTAAATCGACTACTTTCTGCGATGAGTAGAGAAATTCAGTAGCACTAAATGAATTAAAGCGACAATATACCGTATTATATGTGAAGTGTATCTTATTGCTACTCAATAATTGGACAATGCCGCTCGCAGGCTCGAGAATACCTAATGTTTGAGCTGTCTCAATTCCAAAGTCGCCGACTTGCCCCTCCTCCCCGATACCCCGGCTCCAGCCCCGCTAGGCATCCTTCTGCCGCGCCTTCTTTTTGTTCCACGGGCCTTCTAGCGCGAGTGTGAGACGAGGGAAGGGTGCACAAGGCTGGGCCATCACCGACAGGGGCCCTTGCCTCCTCGAAGCGGTCAGGAGGGGTGGGAGGGGGAGGTTGGACGAGGTAGGCAGATGCAGAGAAGCAGAGAAGCAGAATGGAAGCAGGGGGGTGGGATTGGTTGGCTGGTGAGAGGAGAGGGTGGCATGCAGATCTTACGCGGGACTTGGGGGGATTGCGGTACATACGTGGCGATTGGTGATTTCACAGTGGGAGCGGCCAATTGGGGACCCGTGATGTGTCTCGGGGAAGGCCCTCGCGATTGGGGGTTTTTGACCTCGTATGGGACGTATAGACGGGCGGTAGGTACGTAGTAGTTTGGGGTAGGGGCCGATTGGGGGGGGAGAAATCTGGGTGCCTAAGATGGTTGATGGTTTTGGGGTGAGGATCAGCAGGCGGAGCGACGGGACGAGGTGATGGATGGGGTGTGGAGGGATGAGTAGAGGTCGGGGATGCGCCATGCAGGTCGCGCATCTGGAATGGAGGAGGATAAGCATGAGACGAGATAATGATGCAGATGAAGTCACTCTAGGCAGACGGCAAAACAGCGCAGATTGCAGGTTACAGGTCGCAGGCGCAGTGGAGGCCACTTGGTAGGAGGCAGGTCGCGGTCGCATTTGGCACTTGGGGTCACAGTTCAATTTTGCAGGAAGAGACAAAGTCAATTGATAGAGACTACAGCAAAAGCAGTTGGTAAAAAACAAATAAAAAAACAATTGATAAAAAACAATAAGGATATCATGTAAAAGCAAATCTATCTGCGCTCCAGACCGGTGTCGTTTATATCAAAGCACAACGTGCAAAACTCCAAAGCCAGCCCACCAATCCAGAAACTAGAGTACACAAAACAATTGAACAACATCGATCATGACAAATGTCGTTAAAAATTCATTAAGCCATTGAACCTTGCCACCCCCAGTCTATTGTTTCCCCGTTTAGGTTTGACGGGTACAAACGTGGTGAGTTAGCTGCGTGGCGGCTTATACTTGGAATGGCGATGACATCAAGCCACTCGCTGGCGCTTCTCGCGTCGCTTCTCGTGGCAGGGCACTTTGCAGTTGGGGCACTCGAAGCCATGCGGCTCGATGTGAACGCGGTCGAGACACTTGATGCAGCGCCACCAGTCCGATGTGATGTTGCGGCCCTCGAGCCATTCGTCGGTGACGGGGACGCCACGCTTCTCCATGTCCTCCTTGTGGTAGTCGCGGAGGTGGTCACGGAAGTGGTCGCGACGGCGGAATGGGTCCGTGTTGCGCGGGCATTTCTTATAGTCGCATGGGAAGGCCTCGCGCTCCTCCTCTGGACAGTGGCAGTCGCGGTAGTGACGCTCGAGGTCAGCGTAGCGATTGAAGGGCCCAGACTCGCAACCGGACGATAGGCAGGCGTAGCCCCTCGAGGGCTTGGTGATCGGGCGAGCTCGGCGGGCTCGGCGAGCATTGTGAGCGACGGAGCGAGAGTGGGCGAACATGCCAGGGGCTGGAGGACTCTGCCGGTATGGCACGGTCCTTGGGATCTCCATGAGTGTCTGGGGATACATAGGGAAGGAGGCAGGTGCCGACCCAGGGGAGAGAGAGAGATCCGGGACGAAGTCGAAGTGACCCAGGGACTGGTCAAAGCACGGTCCGAAGACGGGGCTGCTTTGAACGGAGTCAAAGTTGGCGCTCAAAGGTGAGGCTGGGAGGGAGTGTGCGTTGGTGATGCTACCCTCTGACGAGACGCCTCGCGAGAGTGGCACCGAGGAGTAAGTGTTGAAAAGCGCGTCAAGGGGTTGCATGGAGTTGGACAAGTTATAGGGCGATTCATCCATGGTAGCCATAACGGTGCCGTCAAAAACCCACTCCCAGGGATCCATGCTGGGCATATATGATGATTGAGACGACGAGAAAGACATTTTTGCGGTGACGATGAAGAGTTGTCTAATGATGAGTTATACGACAAGGAAGAGCTGTCTAACGATGTGCTATACAACGATGAGAAAGATTTGTCTTAGCAATGCGCTTTGTAGTGACGAGGGAACCGGGTCTGCTCGATATCGCTGCGGTTGAGGAGGAAAATTCCTAGCCCAGAGGTTGGAAGCGAGGACGATTTATGTGTGTGAGTGCGAGAACCACGTTAGGGCGGTTCCCTCAGAGTACCGACCAAGCAAAACTTAATGCCAGTAAAGTATGTGGTTGTGTAGTAAAAGAAAGGCCCGCCGACGATGGAGGACCTGTTAAGCAAGTGCGCCACGAGACGTGACATCCAGCGGCGAGAGGAAGGTTCAGTATACCACCGTTGGAAGTTGAGGCATGAGAGGGTAAGCTTTGATCTAAGTGACAAACAGTCGAGCTAGGACACAGCTTGTTTATATAATCAAAGAGGAAGCAAGAAAAAAAGGAAGCGGTGGAGGTTAGCCAGAAGCATGGTGAGGGAAGCTCTCGGTCTTAAAAAGTATGGCAGCAGGGTGTCATTACAGGTTGGGGAGTTGGAGGGGTGGAGATGGGGAGGACGGGCTGCACCGGCGCACGATGTACATCACAGCAATCTGACCAGGATGGGAGGCAGGGCTGATCTCTCACATCGGTGGCAGATTGAGGAATGAGGCGGTAGATGGAGGATGGCCTTCTCCTGTTGCCCATCTGGATGACTACATGCGGTCCTGTGCCTTGCCGTCCCAACTTGAACTGTGGAGCGGGCGAGAGACAAGGACCAGGGGCAATGTGACCAGAGGGGCCCACCAGATACGCTAGACTTGATCTGAGACCTTGATGTTTTCTCGAAAACTTCCATCGATGCTGCAGTAGCACTGGGAGCGGGGGGTATCTGCAACAGGGTTCCCAGGGAGCCCTTTGGGGTTGGACCCCCTGGTTGGTGTGGAGCAGCAAGTGAGCGACAAGTGTGTGTGCGTGCTGTGTGTGTGCGCTTGCCAGTGGTTGGAGCTATGATTCATACCTATACCTACATCCCAGCATGGAGCATCATTTGTTTGGACGGGGAAGTACCGGCGGATGGCGCAAGCCAAGTCTGCATCGGAGACCACCGACAGATGGACGTGTTGTGAGCATTGGGTGCGCTCAGCAGGTCAAACGAGGAAGGGGAGGCAGCTAGATCCCCTGGACTGCCTTGGCCTTGGCTGGACTGAGGTTAGACCCGAGCTAGGGAAACTACGCTGTAGGTCCCGGTAAGTTTCCTGCATTTTGATTCCCATGTAGGGACCCGACGCCCAGACAGTGAGGGAGAACCATGGATGGGTCCGCGTCAAATTGGCGAGACAATGCGCTGGAGGTAACAGGCGGCCACAAGATCCCTCTCTGCCACCCCAAGCGCCCAGTCGACTGTGTGGCCGCAGCAAGCATCGCATGCCATGGCAGACGCATCAAGGTTGGCTGGCAGGTGCCGTGAAGCAAGCCACCCAAGGGACGTACCAAAAGGGACTTTGGTGACTCCAACACTTGGTCGGTACGGTACTTGGGTGCGGCGTCGTCAGTGGGGTGGTACTAGCACTCCCACGATACCATCCATGTAGAGCCCCTGCGCTGTTCGGGACAGTGGCCACTTCACATTGGCGAAACAAACACAGTTGCAAAGATATCGGCCAATCCCTCCGACTTGTGTAATCATCTTGTGGTCGATGCTGGGTGAGGCGGAGCATGCCAGATCCCAAGCTTCGACGGGCGTTTACTTGGCGGTTTGCGTCTGTAGGCTGTTGCAGTAGTTATCGGTCTGTGCTGTAGGGTGCGACCACAGTGGCCAGTGGCAGAGGGGTAATCAGCAAGCCACCCACCATGGCCACACATCATTGTTCGTCGAGCTTCGTGGCCACGGAGCACACAAGAACCCCTTCTCACAGTGGCAATGTCGTGAATCCCATTTAGTGCAATTCATTCATGACTACGGAGTACATGGCCAAGCGTAGCAAC